CTGGTTCTGATCCAGTTACCAAGTCGGGTCTGATGATCAGGAACCAGCAGAAATAGCTCAACTCATCCAGACTGATAGAAAACTTTGAGTTTCTTTGTTGATCAAATGTTCTGGTTCTGCTGGTTTGGACTCTTTAAACCAGTTTGACTGGATCAGATGTTAGAATCAGTTCATCATGTTTCTTTTACATTCAGGGAAATTAATTTATACATTTTATTATTTATTTCTTCATATTTCAGTTTTAACTGCATCCTGTTGGTTCACATCTTTTATTCTCTATTCAGATTGTATCACTGCAGTTCATCAGAGACCAGCTGGACGTCTCTGTTCTCAGCTCTGAAGTCCAACCCGACCCATCTGACAGAACTGGACCTGTACAGAACCAACCCGGAAGGTTCTGGACTGAAGGATCTCTGTGGTTTTCTACAGACTGAAGGCTGCAGACTGGAGACATTGAGGTATTTTAATGATATAATTATTGATATTTCTGTGAATAATTCTATATAATTGATCATCAATCAAAGTTCATTTCTTCTGATCTAATCAATATTTTCTGAGTTTGTTCCTGGATCCAGAGTTTAATTTAGTTTCTCTGTGTAACTGAGTTGGACCTGCTGATCTGAGGTCAGAACAGGACAGCATTTGGACCCCAGTGTGTAGAAATCCCCCTCAGGTCAAGCAGGTCAAAGGTCATCATGAAATGTCCCTTTATTAAGATCCATAAATCCCACATTAGTTTTAAATCTTCTGCTATTAGTTGATGATGATCCAGTCCAGGTTCACAGAGTCCAGGTGTTGCAGTGCTTTAACTAGACCAGATTAAAGAAGCTGATATCCTGATCAATATTCCCATTTCTGCAGCGTCTCTGATGAACGATTCAGAACCAGAACCAAATGACCCACAATGACCTCACAGAGAAAAGGATCAATATTTTCTAGTTGATGGTTCAGAAACTGAATCAGCACAAAATGATCAACTTTCAGAATGTGATGATATGATAAAAGGATTGAAATCAACCCGTTTCCATCTGTCATACTGAGCAATGAGCTGCAGTTCAAATACAAGCAGCAAGAAAAACATCATTAATAGATTAATGAAGAAAAACTGGAGCCATAAAATATCAGCAGATCAATGATGGACAGAGCAGTCGGAGAATCCAGAGCCTGGAAGGAAACATGGAGAGAAAAACATCCACTGAGTTTAAGATCCTCAGAAACTTTGAGACAAACTTTGACTTTCTTTGTTGATCAAATGTTCTGGTTCTGCTGGTTTGGACTCTTTAAACCAGTTTGACTGGATCAGATGTTAGAATCAGTTCATCATGTTTCTTTTACATTCAGGGAAATTAATTTATACATTTTATTATTGATTTGTTCATATTTCAGTTTTAACTGCATCCTGTTGGTTCACATCTTTTATTCTTTATTCAGATTGTGGTTCTGCAGTTTCTCAGAGACCAGCTGGACGTCTCTGTTCTCAGCTCTGAAGTCCAACCCGACCCATCTGACAGATCTGGACCTGAGCGAAACCAACCTGGAAGATTCTGGACTGAAGGATCTCTGTGGTTTTCTACAGACTGAAGGCTGCAGACTGGAGACATTGAGGTATTTTAATGATATAATTATTGATATTTCTGTGAATAATTCTATATAATTGATCATCAATCAAAGTTCATTTTTGATCTAATCAATATTTTCTGAGTTTGTTCCTGGATCCAGAGTTTAATTTAGTTTCTCTGTGTAACTGAGTTGGACCTGCTGATCTGAGGTCAGAACAGGACAGCATTCGGACCCCAGTGTGTAGAAATCCCCCTCAGGTCAAGCAGGTCAAAGGTCAACATGAAATGTCCCTTTATTGAAGATCCATAAATCCCACATTAGCTTTAAATCTTCTGCTATTTGTTGATGATGATCCAGTTCAGGTTTACAGAGTCCAGGTGTTGCAGTGCTTTAACTAGACCAGACTAAAGATGCTGATAGTCAATAATTAGGTGGAATGGCCCTTTATCCACTTCCTGAATCAGAAGCTTCAGTCAGAAACCAACTTCAGCCTGAATCAATCCAGACCACTGAGTTTCTCTCTGAGCTCAACAGGCTGCAGGTTCTTCAGGACATGAGTTTCTGCTCCAGAATCAGAACCAGCAGAGATGCAGCTCATGGATCTGCAGCAGGTTGTTAGGAGAGGTTCTCCTCAAGCTCAGATTAAAGGTTCACAGTCTGACAGAGACGGACAGAGAAAGTGGACTAACTGGATGAAACGGTTCCTAGAAACAGGGAAGCTTTCTGGGGACTTGACTGCTGCTCATATGGAGCTGCAGCACATGCAGCAGTTTGATGTTGGCAGGAAGCAAAACAACATGGAAGCAAGTGATGAGTTTCCATGTTAGTGTCAATTCCACTAATGGAGCAAATGAAAGTCAGTCGTCCTAAAACCAGTGAGAGCAGCTTCCAGAGGAAAACCTGAGTTGTTGTGACAGTCAGACTCTATCAGGATGACCACAGTCTGCTGGCAGAGATCCTGGACATGAAGACACATAAATAATATCAAGATGATTCATTAACAGTCCTGCAGGAAATACTGACTTTGTTCAAGTCATTTTGTTCAAACATTTTGATTCAGCTCTTATTTTGTAGGACAGGAAGTGAGGTCTTCCCTTTGTAATGCTTTGTATGCAACAAGCTTCAGCAGTTCACTGAAATCATCCTCATGTGTTTTACTGGAAAATAGATTTAAAATGATTTATCTTCACTATCAGGTTGTTCCTTTATGATAATCTTCCCATTTCTGCAGCGTCTCTGATGAACGATTCAGAACCAGAACCAAATGACCCACAATGACCTCACAGAGAAAAGGATCAATATTTTCTAGTTGATGGTTCAGAAACTGAATCAGCACAAAATGATCAACTTTCAGAATGTGATGATATGATAAAAGGATTGAAATCAACCCGTTTCCATCTGTCATACTGAGCAATGAGCTGCAGTTCAAATACAAGCAGCAAGAAAAACATCATTAATAGATTAATGAAGAAAAACTGGAGCCATAAAATATCAGCAGATCAATGATGGACAGAGCAGTCGGAGAATCCAGAGCCTGGAAGGAAACATGGAGAGAAAAACATCCACTGAGTTTAAGATCCTCAGAAACTTTGAGACAAACTTTGACTTTCTTTGTTGATCAAATGTTCTGGTTCTGCTGGTTTGGACTCTTTAACCCAGTTTGACTGGATCAGATGTTAGAATCACTTCATCATGTTTCTTTTACATTCAGGAAAATTAATTTTCTACATTTTTCTTATTTATTTGTTCATGTTTCAGTTTTAACTGCATCCTGTTGGTTCACATCTTTTATTCTTTATTCAGATTGATTGGCTGCAGTTTCTCAGAGACCAGCTGGACGTCTCTGTTCTCAGCTCTGAAGTCCAACCCGACCCGTCTGACAGAACTGGACCTGAGCAGAACCAACCTGGGAGATTCTGGACTGAAGGATCTCTGTGGTTTTCTACAGACTGAAGGCTGCAGACTGGAGACATTGAGGTATTTTAATGATATAATTATTGATATTTCTGTGAATAATTCTATATAATTGATCATCAATCAAAGTTCATTTCTTCTGATCTAATCAATATTTTCTGAGTTTGTTCCTGGATCCAGAGTTTAATTTAGTTTCTCTGTGTAACTGAGTTGGACCTGCTGATCTGAGGTCAGAACAGGACAGCATTCGGACCCAGTGTGTAGAAATCCCCCTCAGGTCAAGCAGGTCAAAGGTCAACATGAAATGTCCCTTTATTGAAGATCCATAAATCCCACATTTTTAAATCTCCTGCTATTAGTTGATGATGATCCAGTCCAGGTTTACAGAGTCCAGGTGTTGCAGTGCTTTAACTAGACCAGATTAAAGAAGCTGATATCCTGATCAATATTCCCATTTCTGCAGCGTCTCTGATGAACGATTCAGAACCAGAACCAAATGACCCACAATGACCTCACAGAGAAAAGATCAATATTTTCTAGTTGATGGTTCAGAAACTGAATCAGCACAAAATGATCAACTTTCAGAATGTGATGATATGATAAAAGGATTGAAATCAACCCGTTTCCATCTGTCATACTGAGCAATGAGCTGCAGTTCAAATACAAGCAGCAAGAAAAACATCATTAATAGATTAATGAAGAAAAACTGGAGCCATAAAATATCAGCAGATCAATGATGGACAGAGCAGTCGGAGAATCCAGAGCCTGGAAGGAAACATGGAGAGAAAAAACATCCACTGAGTTTAAGATCCTCAGAAACTTTGAGACAAACTTTGACTTTCTTTGTTGATCAAATGTTCTGGTTCTGCTGGTTTGGACTCTTTAAACCAGTTTGACTGGATCAGATGTTAGAATCAGTTCATCATGTTTCTTTTACATTCAGGGAAATTAATTTATACATTTTATTATTGATTTGTTCATATTTCAGTTTTAACTGCATCCTGTTGCTTCACATCTTTTATTCTTTATTCAGATTGACTTACTGCAGTTTATCAGAGACCAGCTGGACGTCTCTGTTCTCAGCTCTGAAGTCCAACCCGACCCATCTGACAGAACTGGACCTGATCGGAACCAACCTGGAAGGTTCTGGACTGAAGGATCTCTGTGGTTTTCTACAGACTGAAGGCTGCAGACTGGAGACATTGAGGTATTTTAATGATATAATTATTGATATTTCTGTGAATAATTCTATATAATTGATCATCAATCAAAGTTCATTTCTTCTGATCTAATCAATATTTTCTGAGTTTGTTCCTGGATCCAGAGTTTAATTTAGTTTCTCTGTGTAACTGAGTTGGACCTGCTGATCTGAGGTCAGAACAGGACAGCATTCGGACCCCAGTGTGTAGAAATCCCCCTCAGGTCAAGCAGGTCAAAGGTCATCCAGTCTAGAAAAGTGAATTCCTGGAATCTGACAGGAACAAATCAATAATCAATGATTGATGCTTCAACACTTTGATCAGAACCTGGAATGATTTTACTGACTAAAATCCTCCAACACATCATGACCCAGTACCAGGTTCTGGTTCTGGTTCTGGTTCTGAAGTCAGCAGGTCTTTATTGGAGCAGCAGCTTGTTGGCATTAATATTCATGAGAATCTTTAACTGGTTCTGTTAGACTGGTTAACCTGCATCCTGTTGGTTCACATCTTTTATTCTTTATTCAGGTTGAGGAGCTGCAGTTTGTCAAAGATCAGCTGTGATTATTTGGTCTTAGCTCTGAAGTCCAACCCGACCCGTCTGACAGAACTGAACCTGGAAGGAAACAAGCTGAAGTATTCAGATGTTCAGCAGCTGAAGAATCTTGTAAAGACTGTAAAGTAAGTAAATCTTTGCAGTGAGTCCAGCTGCTGTCAGCATATTGAACTAAACCCAGTCAGCATCAAAGCAAAGATCCAGTGTTCCCAGTAAAGCTGCAGCTTCTCAGTGGGAGGAGAATGGTTCAGGCTTCCTGATTGGACACAGCAATCAGCCAATCAGAGGAGCAGCAGCTTGCTGTGTTGTTGCTGTGTCCATGTCTCCTGGACTCCAGCGTCCAACATGTCTAGAGACAGTGGTCCTCATTCATCAAACAGCAGCAGATCTGATCTCAGACCTGCTTGTTCTCTCAGTTCAACAGGAAACAACTGATCAGGTTCATCTTGGTCACAGCTCTGAGATCAGTCTGACTGGAAACCATCTACTGGATGTGCTGCGTCACTGACTGCTACTGGAGACACTCACTGATCTGCTCTCCTTCCTTCTTCTCTCTTCAGGTTCTGAACGTAGAGAACGTCTCTGTGTCCTGCTGATCCTCACAGGTTGAAGCTGCAGCAGTTTGAGTCTAAAGAGACTCTGGATCAAGATGATGACCTCTGACCTCAAAGGTTTCCCTCCTGTTTATTTCCTCATGTCTGTCATTTAGTGTCTGATATTGTTTGTCTCTTGGGATCAATAAAGATCCAGTTCAAACTGGGCTCCATTTAGAGGCTTCATGGACTTTTGATCTGAACTGGATTCAACTGGAAAGTTGATCTTTTTTCTCTCTGGTTCATTTTCCTCCTGGATCCAGAAATGGTCAGAATGGAAACATGGGAATCATTTCCAGTTCAGCTCTGAGGTCATAAAGACGCTTCAAGCCTCTTTTCTCTGCTGCTTCTTCCTTCAGCTGACATGAAAATGTTCCTCAAAGCTCCACAGATAAAAAGATGCAGAGAAACTTCAGCTTCCAGCACAGAAACCAGTTGACCCAGTTTAGAACTGGACGTCCTGCAGAAACTCTGATCTTGGATCAGTTTTCAGAAACATCCATCATTTATCTGGAAAATAATTTTATATATTGTTAATGTAAATTCTAAAATAATGAAGTTTTGCATCATTATTGATTCTCAGCTCTAATTTTCTCAGTTTGTTTTGGTTTTTAATTTTTTAACTCCATATTTCATGTTTTCTAGAGAACTTTAGGACTCGATGTCTCATCAGGCTCTTTACTGAGATAAAGAGCCATCAGTGTGATAATGTGCTGATTGGTTCATGATTATTTTGATATTTATTATGTAATGTGGGTTTTGAGTATTTAATAATGACTTAAAGTTTTAAATAATGTTCTTTGTGGGTTTCTATGCAGCTGATTGTGTGTAAATATAAAAGGTGCAACATTATTTTCCCTCCAAGTTTCTATTGGCTGGTTTTACTGAAGATGTGTTCAGGTACGCAGGAAAATTCAGCGCTGATACAGACGGGACGAGCGACTCCACCTCTGATGATGCTTGGATAAAAGTTTATATGTTCATGAGATGAAACAGTTAATTTTCCTCACATATCAGGACATTCTCCATCGGTCATCCTGCCGTCGTTCTGGATTTATTCATTATTTACATCATCAATAGAAATTGTTCAACCAGATGTTTCTCTCTGTTTTAATTTTCACTGTTATAAAGTCAGATCAAGTCAGCTTACATTACTGTTGTTAAATAAGAGTCACTGCAGGATTTTATTCAGTTTGATCTGAAATAAAACGTCTTGTAAAGAGTTTAATACAGCAGCTTTATTTTATGATTTAAAACAGTTTTTATGACATATATAACTCCAAACAGTGAATAAAAATATATCAGGATAATCTTTGAGTCAGTAAACTGTGAATATGACTCAGGAAGACTGTTAGTTTTCTCTAAACTCCACATTAAATGTAAATAATGCAGCATTATCAAGACTGTAGTTCTCACTATGGCCACCAGAGGGCGGAAATATCCCGCTCAACATAGAGGTGAGTTTGCAGAGCTGCGGCTGATTTCAGACGTTTGTTTAGTTGATCATGTTTATATCATTTTCATGATAAATATTCATATTATTATGGTCTGTCTAAAGGACTGACAGTTGATTTAATATATAGATGTTATTTACATACAGATAACTCATCTATATTTCCTAAATAAATTACATATTAATATTCCCTGATGAAATACTTTAACAGGTTTGTTCGCCAAGATGCTGAGTTTCCTGTTAGGAGAATATGTTTTAAATATTTCTTCTTTCTGTAAAACAAAATAATTACGATAATTTGGCTTCAGAGCCCATTAATATAATTTATATCAAATCGTAAGAAAATTACAGACTTATGCTTTCTGATAAGATAATAAACTATCAGAAAGCATAAGTTCTGATAGTTATGCTTTCTGATAGTTACATTAACTACATAAAGTTAATGTACATTAAGTACATTAATTAACTTAATGTACTTAAGTACTTAATGTACATTAAGTACATTAATGAACTTAATGTACTTAAGTACATTAGCTTAATGTACTTAAGCTAATGTACTTTTAGCTTAAGTACATTGAGCTAAAATGTACTTAAGTGTTTTATTAAATTCTCAATAAACACAGAGAATTTAGGTCATTGTGTTATTTTGAAAGAATCCAAAGGAAGTGCTTTTCATATATCAGCTCTCTAACTTTACTCTTGTATTTACACACTGTGTCCACTAGGGGGCAGACGGCTATGTTAGCAGATAGCTAGTTTCCAGCTCTTAATCGGCTTTCTTGTTGCTCTCTTGGTGTTTCTGTTATTTCTCAAATCTTCTTCCTATTTTAACATGAAATAAATGTTTTATCTGTCAATGTGAACTAGAAGCAGCTCCACAGAGATGAACCAGACCGCAGAGACTCTGAGCGGAGCTAGCGGAGTCTCAGAGTCCTGCTAGTCTGTTAGAATATGCTAACAGATTAGCAGCAGCTTCAGAGGAGCTTTGGCTCCTAAACTATTTCAGATTAGGGCGGCATTTGCCCTCTAGTGGACCCAGATGGTAACTACAGCTGCTTCATAAAGTTAGATAGTTTACATTACACATACACTTCCGGTGAGTACTTTCACTTTAAGACCGATAGAAACGGGGTGTTTTACTGTTTGCTTTTGTTTCAAATAATATATTTAACTTTTATGAAACAAAAACATTATACACAAAAGCAGCAAATTAAACACTGCTGAGGTTTTTTCCACCCACATGTCATTTTTTTGTTTCTTCAGACAGATAAAAGTATTGAAATAACATTAATGTGTGACACATTAATTCACAGATTAACTCAGTCATGTTTCTTTGATTAATTATGAGATTAACAAATTTTCAATGAACAAATATTTTAATTAATCCAACCACTCGTAATATTTTAAACTGTATTAATTAAACTTTATTAATTAAACTGTATTAATTAGAACAAATATCAATAAATGATCGATAAAGGATATCTGTAGTTACCACAGTTCACCACCAGATGGCAGTAAGAACTAATCAAACTTTATAAATAATTTCTATGAAAATATGTTTGTGTGAAATAACTGAGAATAACAAGTGAACGTTCAGTTCATCCGTTTGATTCGCCTCTAAGCAGTGAACTTTAATCAGCTGCTCTAATAAAACGTCAGTGGCTGAGCGGCGCTGTTGCTTTTCAAAATAAAGACATATATTAAAATATCATCAGTGTAATAATTCTCTTTGGAGGAATTTCTAATGCAGGCTGAATCTAAATACTAGACAAATATGGAAATTATAACAAGTTTTAATCACAAATACTCCAAGAATAATTTATATCTCCATATTTTGATATTTTAATTCAGTTTAACTAAAATATTTGTGGCCATTAATGATGATGTAGTTTCAGATTTTGACCACTAGATGTCAGAATAACTCCTGGTTTTATTTTGCTGTTTTCGTTTCTAATGTTTAAGTCAAACATAAATAATCAGATGTAATATTTATTGTACAGAATAAAATATTAATTTGTGACCCATCAATTTATTAAAAACCTGCTTCCGGTATTTATCGCTCATTTCACTGCTGAAGGAGCTTTTGCTGTGAAGTAACGCGAGATCTGGTAGGTATCGCGAGAGCTGCGGGCTGGTGCCTCAGTCTGTGTCGCTGCTGGTCTCTTCGTGGGTTTGTTGTGTAAATGTCCTGCGTGATGTTCTGCCGGGATTAGTCCACGCGTCCAAGAGGACAACATGGCGGCGGCGGCAGAAGGTAAGGCCCGTTGTCATGGCAACACGGTACCGAGCGCAGCTTGCTGATGTCCTCCGTGGACAGGTGTCCCCCTCCCCACTCCCACGGAGGACATGAACGGGGCCGGGTCGCTCATGGACTTCCTGGACGAGCCGTTCCCCGACGTGGGGACCTACGAGGACTTCCACACCATCGACTGGCTGAGGGAGAAGTCCAGGGACACGGACCGGCACCGAAAGGTTCTGGAGGGCTGGGTTCGGAGCGTGGGGCGATGCCGACCCGCTCACCGTGTGCGTGTTTGTCCCGCAGATCACCAGCAAGAGCAAAGAGTCCATCTGGGAGCTGATCAAGAGCCTCCTGGACGCCTGGTCCGGATGGGTGGTGATGCTGCTCATCGGCCTGCTCTCTGGTACCGACCGACCCGGTTCCGTCCGGGACCCGGTTCTGTCTCTGTAACTCTAGTACCGAGCGATAATTCACACCTGCTAGAAACTGATGGTTCCATTATTATCCTTCCTATCTGAGAATGTGGACCGGTACCGGTACCGCTATCGGTACCGGTACCGGGTCGGTTCTGAGCCCGGAATGATTTTAGCAGAAGTTTCACATAAATGATATGAAAATAATGTTTGTATTTGAAGCTGCAGCTCAGAGCATCGATGTGTTGATGATGGAAACATTTGGATTCAAACGTCACAAGTTTTAATCATCAAACGTCATTAAACTCAGTAACATACAGCATCACCATGACAACGCATTTAAAGCTACAGCTCAGTGGATCTGCCTCACCACCAGGGGGAACCCAAGAGCTGTTAGTTTTTCTTCTGCTTATTTTATCAAATATATTATTGTGGAAAAAGTTGAGAATGAATTTTTGTTTTTGTTAATATAATCACATAGAAATCATTAATAAAAATAAAACAAGTTCCACGTAAGAGGCCCCCAGAACTACTAGGGCCCCCAGAACTACTAGGGCCCCCAGAGCTACTAGGGCCCCCAGAGCTACTAGGGCCCCCAGAACTACTAGGGCCCCCAGATCTAGTAGGCCCCCAGATCTAGTAGGCCCCCAGAACAACTAGGGCCCCCAGAACTACTAGGGCCCCCAGAGCTACTAGGCCCCCAGAACTACTAGGGCCCACAGAGCTACTAGGGCCCCCAGAACTACTAGGGCCCCCAGAGCTACTAGGCCCCCAGAGCTACTAGGGCCCCCAGAACTACTAGGGCCCCCAGAGCTACTAGGCCCCCAGAGCTACTAGGGCCCCCAGAACTACTAGGGCCCCCAGATCTAGTAGGCCCCCAGAGCTACTAGGGCCCCCAGAACTACTAGGGCCCCCAGATCTAGTAGGCCCCCAGAGCTACTAGGCCCCCAGAGCTACTAGGGCCCCCAGAGCTACTAGGGCCCCCAGAACTACTAGGGCCCCAGATCTAGTAGGCCCCCAGAGCTACTAGGCCCTCAGAGCTACTAGGCCCTCAGAGCTACTAGGGCCCCCAGAACTACTAGGGCCCCCAGAGCTACTAGGCCCTCAGAGCTACTAGGGCCCCCAGAACTACTAGGGCCCCCAGAGCTACTAGGGCCCCCAGTGGCTCTGGGGGCCTCTGCTGCCCCTTAGTTTTCTTATGCCATGGCTGGCCTTGGTTCCTCCTGGCCTTGGTTCCTCCTGGCCTTGGTTCCTCCTGGCCTTGGTTCCTTCTGGCCTTGGTTCCTCCTGGCCTTGGTTCCTCCTGGCCTTGGTTCCTTCTGGCCTTGGTTCCTCCTGGCCTTGGTTCCTTCTGGCCTTGGTTCCTCCTGGCCTTGGTTCCTCCTGGCCTTGGTTCCTCCTGGCCTTGGTTCCTTCTGGCCTTGGTTCCTTCTGGCCTTGGTTCCTTCTGGCCTTGGTTCCTCCTGGCCTTGGTTCCTTCTGGCCTTGGTTCCTCCTGGCCTTGGTTCCTTCTGGCCTTGGTTCCTTCTGGCCTTGGTTCCTCCTGGCCTTGGTTCCTCCTGGCCTTGGTTCCTTCTGGCCTTGGTTCCTTCTGGCCTTGGTTCCTCCTGGCCTTGGTTCCTCCTGGCCTTGGTTCCTTCTGGTCTTGGTTCCTCTTGGCCTTGGTTCCTTCTGGCCTTGGTTCCTCCTGGCCTTGGTTCCTTCTGGCCTTGGTTCCTTCTGGCCTTGGTTCCTTCTGGCCTTGGTTCCTTCTGGTCTTGGTTCCTCCTGGCCTTGGTTCCTTCTGGTCTTGGTTCCTTCTGGCCTTGGTTCCTCCTGGTCTTGGTTCCTCCTGGCCTTGGTTCCTCCTGGTCTTGGTTCCTCCTGGCCTTGATTCCTCCTGGTCTTGGTTCCGGTTGGGCTGGCCTTGGTTCCGTCTAACCGGGCCGTCCTCTCAGGGACGCTGGCCGGGGTGATCGACCTGGCGGTGGACTGGATGACCGACCTGAAGG